ATTAAACACACAGAACTGCTTCAAGAGGTTGACCTACATGTGTGTGAAAACCTCTTGAACCATAAAGAGGCATCAAGAGGATTTCCTGTTATTGTTTTTTCAGGTGTCTTGTCCCCAGAGCTTTATAAGTAGAGAAAGTGTAATTTGGCTAACAGAAGAGAGAGAAATAAAAACACAGCTGATGGAAGCCTTCAGATGAGAATTAGTGAAGAGATAGTGTGGAGCAGGGTGAAATACATTGACTTTGGATTCAGTTAGGCCTCAGTTTGCATATTGTCTCGCTTTTGATTAGCTGTATAATCTTGGGCAAGTTATGAGTTTGTTTTCCTACCTGTAACATATAGTACCTACATAGAGTAGTTTTAAGAATTAAATAACATAATGTTTCTGATAGCATCTAGCATAGTGCCTGGTAGAGTCTTCAAAGAAGAGCCACCAAGTCGAGGACCCAATCTCTTGATTTATAATCCATGCCACAATTCCTTAGCCTTAAAAAAAAAAGTTATGCCAAAGTGTAAGAAACCTGGCTAGATTGTTACTAAAAATCAGACACAGATCCTCCAAGGAAGGCAGTACAGGGTGAATCTTCGACAGACAAGCAGCTAGATCTCGTATCTCCTCCCTTGCGATTGCTTTTCTCCTTAAGGATTATAACTAGTTTCTACTTTTCCTGCCACATGGGCCTGAGGGACAGGGTTACTCTTAAACTCTTGTCCAGGTAGAAATACTCTGCTTTCAATTCATATCTCATTAAAAATCAGAAACATAGAAACCTCTAAAAATTGTGTTTAAATGAGTGGGTTAAATGGGCGAAGGTGGTGAAAAGGTACAAACTTGCAATTATAAAATAAGTCAGTCCTGGGGATGTAATGTACTGCATAGTGACTACAGTTAACAATATTGTGTTGTGTATTTGGAAGTTGCTAAGAGAGTAGATCATAAAAGTTCTCATCACAAGAAAAAAAATTTGTAACTGTGTGTGGTGATGGATGTTAACTAGACTTACTGTGGTGAACATTTCACAATGTACAAATATTGAATCATTATGTTGTATACCTGAAACTAATGTAATGTTATATGCCAATTATATTGCAAAAAAAAATACCAAGTAACAAATTGACTTGAGGAAGAAAATATGCTTCACATTTTATATGGTTAATCTTACTGTGTCACATTGGAAAATATTTTGGCTCTGGGGCCTGCCCCGTGGCATAGTGGTTAAGTTCATGAGCTCCGCTTCAGTGGCCCAGGGTTCACAGGTTCAGATCCTGAGTGTGGACCAATGCACTGCTTATCGAGCTGTGCTGTGGCAGGCATCCCACATAAAATAGAGGAAGATGGGCACAGATTTCAGCACAGGGCCAATATTCCTCAGCAAAAAGAAGAGGATTGGTAACAGATGTTAGCTCAGGGCTAATCTTCCTCACACATGAACAACTATTTTTGCTCATATGATAAAGTTCTTTATAATAATCCATGGTTATTAAAAAAAAGGATTTGGTCCTTGACAATACTAGTCATCCAATAAACATTGGATTTCTAATTCTCAAACCTTTGTAATTATCAACATCATTTAAGTAAAAAGATATGTATTTGTTAGGTGAGTAAATTTTTCCACCTTAGTTTTCATATATTTTAATTTGTTGTAATACATAAAACCTATTATTTGGTTTTTGTAATAAGCATTGGTTCTCGCTCTCTCTGGACCATAGCGATGGTTTATGTCACTGGTGTTCTGATTCCATGTATACATTTAATTCTACTTGTTTTTGTCTTTAAATTGTGTACATGGGACATATCTCTTAACTTTCACATTTTCAGGCATGAAAAATTGGTGAAATATATTCCCAGAAGAGAGGTTCTCACTCTGCTGTTTATTCACATCTAGGTCATTTGTTTGAAAGCTGATAGTGAAGAAAATACTTTGGAGTCACAAACCAGTGAGACAAGTGGAATGGATGAAAATGGAGTCTTATCAAAAATGGAAAAGTTACTCAAGACAAATACTGCAAAAATGAAAGGGAAGCAATCGTTCGCCCCTGAAGCTTTTGTGTTTCACCCACCAGATGATCTGAAGACCTATCGATTAACGCCTGTGACTCCCAGAAGTATGAATTCTTTGACACCCAGATACACCTGGAGTCCTTTAAAAACAGAAATGTAAGGGGCCGGCCCAGTGGCGCAAGCGTGCTCCCCTGCAGTGGCCCGGGGTTCGCCGGTTGGGATCCTGGGTGCGTACCGACGCACCGCTTAGCAAGCCATACTGTGGCGGCGTCCCATATAAAGTAGAGGAAGATGGTCATGGATGTTAGCCCAGGGCCAGTCTTCCTCAGCAAAAAGAGGAGGATTGGCAAATGTTAGCTCAGGGCTAATCTTCCTCACAAAAAAAAAAACAGAAATGTAAGAATGTAATGTTGATAATGAATTCCTTGCTAAGATGGATAACAAATTCCTATCTTAGATTTGCTTAAGTTATTTAGTTAGGAAACTATGTTCATTGTAAATCATGAAAATTTGATCTTTCAAAAAATTCTTCAGAAGGCTACAATAATGTACCAGACAGGTTTGATATTTTCTATGCATTGTTATTATTATTATTTTCATGATTCAATTTGTGGTTTTTTTGCTTTTAACAAGTGACTTTATTTATAACACTTAGAAATAAATTTTTAGAAAGAAGAAATTGCTATACTGTTGCTCAGACCTGGTTTGGATTTTTTTGTTTGTTTGTGTTTTTTTACTGAGTATTACTTTAGAAAAACTACCTCTAAAGACAAAATGATTAACTTGTAAAGTGGGGAGAAAAAAATCAGTTTGAATCTTTAAAAGAAATGGCAAGGTCGTTTTTGCAAAGCCTGGCTGGTGGCATATTTACTAGAAACTGCTCAGCAGCATCAGAGACTCCTCAGTGTTTACATCCATTAAGAGATCTACAAATCTGTGGATCTCATCACAATTAGTAAAGGTGGACATTCCCACTGTAGGTGTTTACATTTTTTATCCTCCAGAATAGACACATTAAAAAAAATAGAAACATTTCTATTTTATCCCAGATTTGTAAAAAGCACCATAATTTTGAAATCCTTCAATTAGATAAGTGGGGTTCATGTTTCATGAAGGATATTTTTGCTATAGTTTTTAGTGATAAGACTCAAGAAGCAACAAAAGAAATTTTGTTTACAGAAAGGTAAAAGTTTCTCTGCCCAGACAGTACATCAAGATTCAAGTAAATTACAGTGTCCTTTGGGTTCTCTAACAGCTGGGGATACAGGTGTGGTATTTCAACGAAATTTTTACTTGCTTTTCTGGATTGTGCTTTATCAGAGATTCTTTAGAGCCCTTTTTGCCATATAGCTCACCATATAGTTCAGGGATGTGACCTCAGGGTCAGAAGAGACGGAACGCATGGGGAGGGGATATCTGGAGACAGAGCTGGAATGAGGAAGACAGACTGAGAAGGGGGGACGTAAATGTAAATTTGAAGAGGTGAAGAATATTGAGAGACACTTTAGAGGACATCTGATGAATGAAATCATTGAGGCAGAAATAAAATTTTTAAATTCAACATTGAAAAAATTGAAGGATTTAACAAATTTATCTTGTGGGGGATGTCATTTTAGGAGTTGCTGCTTTGAAATTTATATGTAATGTTTTCTTTAATCTATAGAATATGTCTTAAATAGAAATGAAACTGCTACTAAAAATGTAGATGGCCTTCCAATAAAAGAAGTCCTATCACTTGAAGTAAATGAAGATCAGAAATCCCAGTCGCAACATAACGTGCTGTATTTCAGGATCGTGCATTTGTTCCTAGCGTAAGAATTTTGTATTAATGTCTATATATTTAAAACCAAAATCAAACTATTTTTATCCTTAATATAATACTTAGATGAATTAGGAGGAAGCTGACTTTGGGTGATTTTATTTATCTTTTTTATTTTATCTTTTTATTTATCTTTATCTTTTAAATTTTAATTTTTTTCAATAGCTAGTACATTCATGTGGTTCCTAATTTAAAAGGTAGAAAAAGGTACAAGTGAGAAGTCTTTTTCCCGTTTCTGCTTCCAACCCCCTAGTTCCAACCTTCCACAGAGGCAAGTGTTGTTCATTTCTTGTGAATACTTCCAGAGATAGATAATGCATACACAGATAAACATATTTTTCTTTTTTTAATGTAAACAATAGCATACTAACCTGTTTTCTTCTAATAGTAAATGCAGGAGATATTCCATTGTAGTACTTCAAAGAACTTGCTCATGTTGTTTTGTGTGTGTGTGTTTTTCAATGGCCACATTGTATCCAATTATGTGGCTAGACCACAGTTTACTTAATAAATCCCTGTTGCTGGTTTTTTACATTGGGTTCAGTCTATTACTATTACAGTCAAGCCTGCAAAGAACAACCTTGTATGCTTTTCAATTCTCTCCTGTGCAAATATATAAAGACCTCAATTTACATTTCCTCCAGCAAAGTATGGGAGTTCCTATTTTCTCATACCTTTTTTTCCCCCCACAAAGAAACTAAGTTAATGTTAATTTTATAAAGGAAGTTTAGAGTGAGATGGTGGGAGGCTCCTTCACCCACTAAATCCTGAGATAGGATTATGTTTCTCCAACTATGAAGACTGAATATTAACATCCTGTTTGGGGAACCTCAGCTGTGTCACCTAAATGCCTTGGACACAGATCCGAGGACTGCATTTGGAGAAACGCCCCAACACTCCACGTCACACCGGAAATGGTCACATACTATTATTCTTGAGTGAATGTAGCAAGGAAATTCTCATACCTTTTCCAATGCAGTATTAACAATTTTTTTGAGCTTTGCCAATCAAATAGATGAGAAATATAGTCCATTGTGTTGTTTGAGATATTGAGATCATAAGCAATTTACCCAACTAAATAACGTCAGGTCTAAGCTGGGTCTCATTTCTCATAATTAAGTTGTTCTCTCTTATGCCATTAGATTTAAACAGCTAAATTTTTCTTCTAGGAAGCAAAAACTATCCTCAGTTTCTCCTGCTGGGGTGCTTTTTATAAAGAAACAGGTTAAATTTCCCTTAGGCCGGGGTTTCTCAACCGGCACTTCTGACATTTTAGATTGGATAATTCTCGCTGTGGGGCCGTCCTCTGCAGTGTAGGATGTTTTGTGGCATCCCAGGCCAGTAGCACTCCTCTAGTTCGTGACAATCACAAATGCTCTCGACGTTGCCAGATGTCCCCTGGGGGCAAAATTGACCAGTGTGGAGAACCACTGCCTTTGGACAAGCAAAGCCTGATAACTAGAATCTGGGAGGCCCTAACACGGTAATTCCAGACTCACAGGTTTTAGCTTCAACTGACTCTTGGCAGTTGGGTTGTCTTAGTTCCATGGACAATAACAGAGAACTAATAACAGGACTCAGGCATGTCTGGTTCTTTCTGTTCAGCCTCTGAAAAATAAGAACAGAAAGAACAAGAAATATTAGCTTGAAAAGTGGCTCTTGGCATTAACTCTCCACATTAGCTTTAGGTGCAGAGGGACAGACATGTATAGGGTATCAACTTGTGTTTATGGATTATAATATATCACAGTATGAACTTTTTATATATTTTATGAAAAATAATTAAGCATCAATTCTGGAAAATTACTATTGTATAAGTGTCATATTGCTAATACTTAGATATTAGTATGAGAAACATTTGTAAAACTGAAATGTATGTCATAATTTTAGAAACATTCTTCAGTCAGAAACTGAAGAATTAACCTCTCACTACCTTGAGTGGGAAAGGAAACTTGAATTGGACATTCCAGGTGAAGGTGAGGGAACGTTATATTTTTTATGTCTAGCTTTGTTTATTTTAATATGGTTACATTTATCTGAAACATGAAAATCTAGCGTTGTCCAACTTTATAGTTTTGTTATTCAAAATAGCAAGACTTTTTCATATCTCCACATATGTTCGCTAATATATCTGCTAAAGTGGTACATGACTTAAAAGAAGTAATTAGAATATTAGCCATCATTCCTGAGAGTCTGACATTTGCCGATTTTATTAGATTTTTTTATGACTTTTTGAGTGACATCTATATCTACTATTGTTTAATTATACAAAAATATTTTCTGAATGAAAATTACCTAGATAAATATGGAACAGATTTTCTGAAAAAGTGCTTAATCTTATTTGAGGAAGCTGTTTAGAAAAAATCATTTGTGTGCTGTGTGAAGTCCTTAGATACTGATGTACAGTGAGTTGTTTGAGGTTGAATTCTTATAAAATACAAGGAGAGTAGAATGCTGTTTACTATGTAGCAACATGTATGAGAATGAATGTTGCTACTTTTTACTGGGAATAGAAGCAGATAGTTAATGCTCAGTATTTGTATGACAAAGTTTTGCAGTAGATGTTTTTTGTTGTGCTTTAAGGTAAGCGTTTGATTCTGTAAGCCCTAGGATATTTGGGGTGAGGTCGTTTTATCACTGCTTGGCTTGCAACCAAGGTCCTGTTTGGTTCTTTAACTTTTAAAAATCTCATATTTCCTTTAGCCAAAGGTCTTATTCGCATCGCTGTTGGTCAAACAAGACTCCTTATGAAAGAAAGGTTCAAACAGTTTGAAGGACTGGTGGACGATTGTGAATATAAACGAAGTGAAAAGGATACCACCTGCGCCGATCTAGATGGCTTTTGGGATATGGTTCGCTTTCAGGTATGTGGTCAAGTGTTTGGAATGGATTAACTTTTGAGTCTCATGTTTTTGAAAATGAGGTAACGGTAGTAAAACGGGGCTCATAGTAGCTGCTTAGGCACCTGTGATATTAAAGGAGACATTAGCCCCTTTATAAACTATAAAGCACTGTCTACATTTTGTGACTGATGTCCCCTCCTCCCTCATATTGTCTGGGTAATTTCTATATGGGTTGGAAATTGACATTCTGTTCAACTGTTGACTGGTCTGCAGTGATTCCACGTGTGAGAAAATGACTACACTGAGTCTTCAGCAGTTGGGTCCATCCAGCAGTTACTGTTCTTACCGAGTGCCGGGCATTGTATGAGGAGCTGATAGATAAGGCACACTCTCTACCCCAGAGGAGTTTCTGGTTTTATTAGTCAGACATAACACGTAATTCCAATCTAGTGTAGAAACTGCTGTGATAGAGGGAATTACTAGAAAGGTCAGTAAAGGTGTGGGAGGAGATGACGCTTTCTAACTTTTTGAGCTAATTTTAGAAATAAGCATATAAAATACTATTTCAAGAACCAGTAGCCAACAATCATTAGACATTTGAGGAAAGCCTGAAACCTGAAAGGAAGAGGCCAAAGCAAACAGGAAGAAAGCCATTTGGGTGGAGGAAATGGGGCTAATACACGAAGAAAAGAACTTTAAAAGCAAGTATTAACATTCTCAAAGAGACCAGACGTTTCTTCTGCCAAATAAGGACAGCTATTAAAAAAAGAACATTCAGAGAATAGCAAAAATAGCTCTTTGAAGTTAAAAACTATGAGAGCAGAAATGTAAGATTCAATAGAAAGATGTAATATGAAGTTGAGATCTCCCATAAAACAGAGCAAAGAGAGATAAAATAGGAGAGACTACATAAGAAAATTAAGTGGACGGTCTAGGAAGTATAATATCCAAATAATAGGAATTCCGGAAAAAGAGAACAGAAAACATAGTGGAGAGGAAATGATCAATGAAATAGTTTAAAATTTTTTCCCGGAACTGGGGGACCTGAATTCCAGATTGAAGTGTCTAACACTGTGAATCAGAGAAGACGCACACCAATGCACAATTAAATATGATTGTGCAACTCTTGGGATGAAGAGAAAAATCTAGAAACTTCCAGAGAGCAAAAACAAGTTTCATACAAAGGGTCAAGAATCAGAATAGCCCTGGGTTTCTCAAGAGCAACATCGAAAGCTGGGAGAACAGTGCCCTCCAACTTCTCAGGGAAAATCACTCTCAGCCTGGCGTTCTAGACCAACCAATCAAGTGTGAGGGTGGAAAGGCGTTTTTCAGACACACACAGTCTCAAGGGTTACCACCCGTGCACCCTGTCTCAGGAAACTGAGGATGGACCTCACAGACATGAGGGAGTAAGCCAAGAAAGGGGGAGGGGGTGGGGCTGATCCCCAGAAAGCGTCTAAGGGAATTGCGGCCGAGGTGCGTGAAGAAGGTGGGCAGCAAGAGCAGGAAGCCGTGGTTCAGACACGAGCCGGGGAAGGGGCGCTGCAAGAGCCTGTCGCTGGGAGGCTGAGCTGAATAGAAGACCTGATTGGTCTGTTTTTCTATTTGTATTAAGAGGAGATTTACACTTACTGTGCAGAGTTTAGAGGTGACTTGATGATAGACACATAGAGAAACTGAGCAAACAAAAAGCAAAACAATTATTAAGTCCAGAGAGAAAAGTGAAGAAACACAATTTCTCAGAAATTATATGGCCCAGATGTGAATAGTGTTTATGTAGTCTTAATATAAGCATTACTTTATGACCAGTTGTCATAGTAATGAGTTGGTTCACTAGCATCCTTCAATGGTGACCAATTAATTTTATGTTTTTTAGTATCATTATTAATTTATGGATTTAAAGATATTTGTGTTTGCATTGTTTACAGTTATTATCTTTATTGATGCTCGTTTCCCAGCTTTGGCCAGTGGGAGCCTCTTCAAGTTGGTTCCTGGGGTCTTTATTTATTTATTTTAGAGAGCTATATTGAGGTATCATCTACAGATTATAAAATTTACCTGTTCTAAGTGTAAAATTCAATGACTTTTAGTAAATTTACAGAGTTGTGCCACCATCACCACAATCCAAATTTAGAAAATTTTTATCACCACAAAAAGAACCCTCTTACCTGTTTTTGGTCAACTCCCATTCCCACTCCCAGCCCCAAGCAACCACTAATCTACTTACTATCTCTGTAGATTTTCCTTTTCTGGACATTTCATACTAAACAGAATCATATAATATCTGGCCTTTTGTATCTGGCTTCTTTCACTTAGCGTGATGTTTTTGCGGTTCCTCCGTGTTGTAGCGTGTATCTGTATTTTGCTCCTTTTCATGACTGAGTAGTGTTTCATTGTATGGATATATCACTCTTTGTTCACCAGTTGATGGACATATAGATTGTTTCCACTATTTGATGATTATGAATAATCTATGAATACTCACTTAAATCTTCTCGTGGACATGTTTT